TAGCACTGGGGTTTGAACTCAGGGTCTCAGGCTTGCCGGGCAGCTGCTCTACCACTTGAACCACTCCACCAGCCCATTTTGGTGATTGGTTTTTTCGAGATTGGGTCTCACAAACTATTTGCCTTTGAGCTTCGATCCTCCTGATCTCTGCCTCCTGAGTAGCTGGGATTACAGGCGTGAGCCACTGGTGCCTAGGTTACTTTGAAAACTTTTAATAACAGGAGGGGATTTCACTGTGCCATGTCCGTGTGTGTACGGTGTACTCTGAGCAAGCTCACCCCCTCCATTATGTTCCCAATTCTCCTGTCCCCTCCTCCCTAAAATTCTTTCTTTGTGACAATGTCCCAAACTCAGTACCCAAGGGAGAGGCCTCCTCCCTGGAGCTGTGTGGTTCCGTCATGGTTCAGCCCACACAGAGCGCAGGGACTGCACTGATAAGACCAGTCAGCAAACCAACTGGGTTTCACGTGAACCAAAGTCCAGCGTGCTTTTTTATTTATTTATTTATTTTTCCAGCATGCTTTTTTAAAGACCCTTTCCCCTGCCCTGACCTCTCCCTGATGCCCCCTTCTTTCAAAACGCCCAAATACCTCTAGATAAATCGAACTTGAGCTCCATTGGATGGACTTTGTGCTGTGAAATAGTGGCCACTGATTAAAATCTGTCCTGACCACAAAGCATTCAGTTTTATTTGTTTTTGACACTTGCCTCCCTCCTCCCCCCCAGACCTCGGCTGCTCCTTGGCTGTTGTTCTGATCAGCTGTGACCGCCCATTCATCCATGAGCCCCAGAGAGAAGGGCAGTGCCCAGCCTGAGGCCCCACCAACACGGGAAGGCTGAGGAGGAATTCTGAAAAGGAGCCCGGCATTTGGAGCGAAGTTAGGCTGGGTTTCTGGCACCTGATCAGCAACCTTGCCAGGCCTCAGTTTACCCTTCCATCAAATGGGTAATGTGTGGTTAATGTCTATAAAAAGATAGGTGTGTGGAGGCTGGGTGTGATGGCACACGCCTGTAATCTCAGCTACTCAGGAGGCAGAGATCAGGAGGATCGCAGTTCGAAGCCAGCCTGGGCAAACAGTTTCCCAAACAGTTGTTGAAAAAAACCATCACAAAAAAGGACTGGTGGAGTGGCCCAAGGTAAAGGCCCTGAGTTCAAACCCCAGTACCACACACAAAAAAAAGCCCAGAAAAGGCCCTGCTGACTTTGCAAAGGTGAGAGTCCGCAGTGGCCTAACTTCCTCCAAGGTCCCCTCTCTTCCTAGGAAGTCCAGGCCAGGCTCAGGGTGGCCGCTGATGGTCACAGGTCCCAGGAGGCTGGGACCAGACCTCCCTGCGGCTCACGGGCTCCTCCTGGCCCCGACTCAGCAGGGTGGGGAAGGGGACCGCTGAAACGAAATGCAAGTCTGCATATGGGTTTTCTTTTCAGCAGCTAACAAAAAAAGTTACTATTTTTACTGCCGGGATCCGGTTGTTATGGCAACGGAGGGCCTGACTCCTGCTCTGAGTCGGGGTTGGACTGTGACAAGAGAGGGAGGTGAGGGAGGTGATGGAGGTGGCTGGTGAGGCAGCTGGTGGCTATGGGACTGTCACACACACACATCGGAAGTCCACTCTGTCCACCTGACCTGCCTCAAGGCAGTCAGTCAGTCCCCAAGGACTTCTGTCCCTTTTGGCACACACCTACTTCCTGCCAGCTCTGTGCCCTTAGGTTCAGCCCTGCCTTGTCCCTCTGGTGGCTCTGACCTGCCCTCCCAATCCTCCTTCACCTCCCTCAAGAGGCACCAGGCCCCACACAGGTGGGCCATGTTGGACCCAGCAAGGTCTGGCCACTGTCAGTGACCTTTGTGTCCCTGAGCCACACGCTTGGCCCTTGAGCTTCAGTTGCTCCATTTGTAACACGCTTACTTGCAGGACCACTGCAGGGCACGGAGCCTGGACCTGACATTGTTACTGAAGGCTGCAAGTGTCCCTTGGGGACAGAGCGCTTGCCCAGGATGCACGAGGCTCTGGGATCCACCCCCAGCGCCACCTCTCCGTAGGGTTACCCGGTCGGTGTCATCTACCTGTCCGTTCTCATGCTATAGACCAGGAGATGGGCTGCCCAGTCTATGCGACCCAGTGACCATGCAGCTGTAACCATAGGTTCATCTGGCCCTGACATCACCTGTGCTACTGGACAGTGATTTCCAGCTGACTGCCATCCCTGGGCCACTTTTGACCTGACTGTTGGAGTCCTTCTTCTCCTGATAGCTTTAATTTATTTATTTTTGGCAATGCTGGGGTTTGAACTCAGGGCCTCACGCTTGCTAGACAGGCACTCTGACACTTGAACCACTCCGCCAGCCCTTTTTTGTGTCAGGTGTTTTCAAGATAGGGTCTCACAAACTATTAGCCCAGTCTGGCTTTGAACCACAATCCTCCTGATGTCTGCCTCCTGAGTAGCTGGGATTACAGGTGGCACGTGGCTTGTTTTTGTTTTAAATGTTGCCTCACCATTAACTGGACACCGTAATCTCACAGTGCAGCACTGGCCCATAGAACTTTCTGCATTGTGTCTGGGCCCGGTGACTTATACCTGTAATCACAGCTACTCAGGAGGCAGCGATCAGGAGGATCGTGGTTTGAGGCCAGCTCAGGCAAAACATTAGAGACCCCATCTCAACAAACAAGCTGGTCACAGTGGTTGTCACCTATGATCCCAGCTACCCAGGAGGCATAGGTAGCACAATCAATGTCCATAGCTGGCCAGCGTGGGCAAAAATGGAGACCCTATCTGAAAAATAACTAAAGCAAAGGACTGCAAGGGGGAGTAGCTCAAGTGGTAGAGCACCTGCCACAAGCACGAGGTCTTAAGTTCAAATCCCAATAGTGCCTAGCCTGGTTAACACGGTGACTTGTGACATACAAGTCCCTACAGATAGTTGTCAGACACAAGTATCTGTTAGATTCCGCCTTGGCTAATATGTGGTCCATTCTCTTGGAGTTAACAGTCACCCCCATTCTGCAGACCCCAATAAAAGCTTGAGATCTCAGGACCCTCAGCTCAGTGACCCCATCTTGAGCCCTCTCACTGGTCCTGTCTGGAGGGGGTGCTTCTGGCTTGCTTTCACTTTTTTTTTTTGGCTATACTCGGTTTGAACTCATGGCCTCAAGCTTGCTAGGCTGGTGCTCTACCACTTGAGCCGCTCCACCAGCCCTGCTTTCCCTTTCGTTCCATGAATGAACCTGCTCCCGTTTCTGTCTCCTGTGTCCTTCTTTGAAATCTGTCTCCCACGAGGTCAAGAACCTTCTGGCCAGGACCAGGAGGCCAGTACCTACCACATTGGAAGTCCCATCTCTGTTTGGTCAAGATGAGCAAGTTGACACCTGTGGCTTTAAGGACCCCTCCCCCTCAGCCCTCCCCAACCCCTCCAGTCACTGTTTCCCAGTGGACAAAACTGGGGCAATTCCTCAACCTGCTCTCCCTCTGGTCACGCCAGTTGACCCTTGACCTCGGCCTCACACTCACCTGGCCCAAACCCAACTCGTGATCTTCCCTCCCTCTCCCTATTGTCCTCCTCTGGTCTGACCCAGGGCCAGCCAAAATCCCCAGGGGGGCATCTCGGACACCTCTGGGCCCCTCTTCCCCTACTTCTGGCCCTCACCGAGCACGAGTGGGTCTGCCCACTGTGGACCAAGCTTTTGGGCTGCAGCGGCGATTAGGTGCTATCCTTTTGGCTTTTCGCTTCTTGGTCTCTCCCTGGGGCAGAGGTGTGCTGAAGGATGTCACACATTGTTACAAAAGGAACACGTGCTCCTGCTGGGGCTGGAGCTGGAGGAGGATGAGGCCGGGAAGAGAGGGCTTCCTTTCAACTTGGGAAGTGGCCTTGGGTGCCCCAGCTGGGGCTGACCTTGCTCTCCCTCCTGCCCTCCATCCTCCATCCTTCCGCTCTTCCCCCTCCTTCCCCTCCCCTTCCTTCCTTCCCCTTCTCTTCTTTCCTTCCTTCTTCCCTCCCTCCCCTCCCTCCCCCTTCTTCCTTCCTTCCTTCTTCCCTCTCTCTCCCCCTCCCTCTCTTTCTTCCTTCCCTTCCTGTCTCCTCCCTCCCTCCCTCCCTCTCCATCCTTGGCCTCCACCTTCCCAGCGCTGGGATCACAGACCTGCACCCCCAGCTTCCTTGCTGTAGACATTTCCTCCACATCAAAGACCATCTTTCAGTCCCCAAGGGGGCCAACCCTTTCACGGGTGACAGTTTTCCTAGAACCCATCACCTGGGCAAGGTCCAGAAAGGAGAAAGCTAGGATTTTGTAGAAGGGCTGGCCTAGAGGCTGGAGTTTGGAGATGGAGGGGTGGGGTGGGGAGGACGATGACAGATCCTCAGGTCCCTAGAATCCCTCCACCAAATGCAAATGTCCCTGCCTTGGGGTGTAACGAGGGTCCCCAGAGTCACACGGTCCTGGGCGTGGGATGGGTGGGGAAGGTTCCTGGAGAACAAGGCCATTACCGGGTGTGGACACACAGGGAGGTGCTGGCTGGGTCGAGGGAGGATAAGCTTGAGCCACAAGTAGCCTGGGTGGTCAAATGGCAGACGCAGTGTCCCCTTGTCACTTCCAGCTTAGCGGCTCTGCTAGGCTGGCTGGGTAAGAGGAGGAGGGGACAGGGGACAAGGACCGGGGGACAAGGACTGGGGCTCGGGACCCGCTCCACTCCGCCAGCTCGGGTGAGGGGGCGAGGGCAGGGGGGCGGGGTTTGGAGTGGGGAGGTGGGCGGGGGCGCGCGCGGGGCTCCTCGCTGATTGGCGGGGGCGGCAATGATTGACAGCGCGCGCCTGCAGCCCCCCCTCCCACCCCGCGCCCGCCCCGCCCCCGCCCCCGCCACCATCTGCTGGGGATTTGGCGTCGCCACCGCTCGGGGCGCCTGCGGCTCCGGCTCTCCGGGCTCAGGTTCAGGTTGGGGTTCAGGTTCGGGTTCAGCCCCTGCTGCACCTGCTCCGTCCCTCCCAGGGGCTCCCCAAGTTCCCGCCGGGCCCGGCGCCCATGGAACCGTCGCGATGTTCGCGCCCCGGATTCTCGATTTCCAGAAAACCAAGTACGCCAGGTGAGTGCGTGAAGAGGGTGTGCGTGACCCCTGACCCCTGACCCGCCTCCAGCAGAATCAGAATTTATAACTACACCCCTGACCCCGAACCCAGAACCCACACAGCATCTGGAGCTGTCTTCCGAATGGGGTTGGCGTTAGCACCCCAAATCTGCGGATGCCCTGGGCCCTCCCCTTAACCCGGGGACATGGAGGTCCCCATGGCCAGTGACCCTATGAGGATTAAGGGACACAATCCTTGGAAAGACCTGAGCTCGGTGCCTGGACCCCAGAGCGACCCCAGCTATTTAATGCTGAAGGGCTTTTGTGCACCCCGCCTGGGTCCCCCCTACACTTCTCAGCAAGGCAGAGGAATGGGAAGTGGTCTTTTCAGATGGGGAAACTGAGACCCAGGACTCAGGAGAAGCTGCCTGGGTGAATATCCTGGCCCTTTCACCCTTGAGAGCTCTGGGGTCCTCTCTGAGCTCAGTCTGTTTTTCTGGAATGGTGGTGACAGTCCCTTCCCACCTGACGGCTGAGCCCAAGTCTTAGACTCGCAGTTATGGGGGGCTCTGATCACTCAGGTTTTCCTAGGGTTTTTGTTGGGGGCTGATTATTTGAAAGTGACATGGACATGGAAACCCCTAAAGTCCCTTGGGGTTTCTGGTGGTCTTTTGGGAGGACAAGGCTGGTGTGGCTGGTGCAGCCCCCTCGGCCTTTGCCTGCTATGTCCCCATCACCTTTCACCCTTTCCTGGCAGGGGTCTTCACCTTCAGTGGTCAGGTGGGTGCCTAGCTCCTGTCAGATGGACTTAAGATGGGTTGGCACCGTTTGCTATGGTCACATCAGTGTGGCTCCATGACTCATTACCCCCAGGTGAATGTGTTGCCCCCACCACCCACCCAGGACACCTCTTCAAGTTCTGGTCACACCAAGTGCAGCTAAAGTCCAGATGCTCAGGGTTAGGGTGGCACCCCGGGGGCAGGAAAGGGGCGGCAGGAATGATCTGATTCCCCTTCAGTCTCACGCTCCCCTAAGGTGGGAGTCTCACCTGGAAAAGTAACATGTGCAAACGGCCATCCATGGCTGTGTACATTTTGGTGTGGTTTTTATCCAGTCTTTCTTTTTATATGTATTTTTAAAACAGTTGATTTTTTCCATGCTGGGGTTTGAACTCAAGGTCTACACTTTGAGCCATTCCACCAGCCCTTTGTTGTGATGGGTTTTGTCAAGATAGGGTCTCATGGACTATTTGCCCTGGGCTGAGTTTGAAATGCAATCCTCCTGCCCTCTGCCTCCTGAGTAGCTGGGATTACAGGTGTGAGCTCCTGGCACCCAGCTGGCTGATGTCTTATAAGGCATTGTATCCTAATTTAAAAAGTTCACACTGCTGTGATCTTGTGTTCCTTGTCCTCAATAATTATTTGCAAACTCAGTTTAATATATTCCTAACAGTACATCTCACTGTATTCTGCTTTATTTTTTCCCATGTTTGCATGTTTGTTTCTTGGACCCCACTTTTTTGTGTGGGATGGGATTTGAACTCAGGGCCTCATACTTGCTAGGCAGGTGCTCTTACCACTTGAGCTATGCCCCCCCCAGCCCTTTGTTTGTGTTTTGTTTTTGAGTCACTAAGTTTGCCTGAGCTGGCTTTGAACTTGTGATATTCTCTCTGCTTCCTGAGTAGCTGGGATTACAGGTGTGCACCCCGGCACCTGTTCCAGATTACAGTTCTATAAATGATCTCTGGGGTCCTCATGCAGCCACATTCAGGAGAGTCTGCTGTGTGAGGACGTACTTGTTCTGTTGTCAATGCTGGGCTTTGCTAGCCAGGTCGTGTCGTTCTCAAGTCTCATGTCATACCCACTTGCTGCCTTGTTTGCCATGATGGGGTGAAATGGTCGCCGCTGTGAATGGACCCATAGTGGAATTTTTGCACGGGACTTGGAGTTTCTTCTAAGGTCACTCAGGCAAAGGTCGAGGTCCCAGCTTGCTCTGCCCAGGGCCATCGGGAGGTCTTAGGGCTTGCATTTTTGCATTCTGTCCTCATTATACAATGTTCTCCTTGTCTGTGGGGCTGCGCAGTGGGGTTGGCCAAAATTCTCCATCTTACAACCTAAATGTTCCCTCAGAGCCGCTTAGATTCTCGCATATCCCATCTAGGACCCTGGCATTCTGCAGGGTCATGAGTTTCTTTCTGTTTTGAGACAGGATCTTGCTCTGTACCCCAAGCTGGCCTGGAACTCAAGGTGCTCCTGTCTCTACCTCCTGAGTGCTGGGATTACAGTCAGGCCATGTGTGCTTTCAACAGTTTTTGTTCTACAGATGATTAACAGTATTCGTGAGGCATCTTTTATGACATCTGGTGCGCAGTTGGGAGCTGCAGAGAGTTGACTATTTACGTCATCGTTGCCATTCACAATGTGCCTCTTTCCAAAGAGGTTTTGAGGCAGTTTGTAAAATAATTAAAAAAAACCCAAATTTCTCAAGGTCTATGGTGCAATCTAAGAAATCCTTTCCTCTTGGGAGACATTCCTCTGTGACTTCAGCAGGCATCTGTGTGTGGAGAGGTGGCGGGGAGGCGGACTTCACTCACTTCTTCTGCTCTGGGTTAAGGCAGATAGCCCTGCACCGGGAGAGGAATCCTGACCGTATGTCTGTCCAGGACTTCCCAACATCACCTCATCTTTCTAGAAATCCTGGCACTAGGTAGAGTTTCCTTTTTTCTTTCCCTCCCTCCCTCCTTTCCTTCTTTCTCTTTCTTCTTCCTTCCTTCCCTTCCTCCCTCCCTCCCTCCCTCCCTTCCCTCCCTTCTCTCTCCCTCCCTTCCTTCCCTCCCTCCCTTTTCATCCTCCTCCTCCTTTTTCTTCCTCTCTCTTGCCCTCCCTCTCTCCTTCCCATTTTCCTTCCTTTCTTCCTTCCCTCCCACACTCCCTCCCTTCCTTCCTTTCTTCCTTCTTTATCCATCCTCCCTCTTCCTCCTCCTTCTTTTTCTTCCCCCCCTCTTGCAGTGCTGGGGATTGAACCTGTGGTCTACCACTGAGCTAACATCTCCAGCCCATTTTTACTTAATTTTGTCTGCCATGGGCACAGAGAAAGATGGCAGCAGTCATGTTATTTGTCTGAAAAAATCCTACTTCACCTGTGTTTGGGCAGATCCACCCTTAAACAAGAAGAATTCTGTCCCTAACTCTGTCCTTTCCATCAGCACAGGGTCTCACTATATGACACAGGCTGGCCCCGAACCCCCAATCCTTCTGCCTCTGCCTCCTGAGTTGCTGGAATTGCAGCAGGTGCCACCAGACTCGACATTTTTTTTACTTGAACTCAGAGCCTCATCCTTGCTAGGCAGGTACTGTATGACTTGAGTCAATCCACCAGTCCTCCCAACTTGTTTCGAGATAGAATCTCACTAACCTTTGGTCAGACTGAATCCTAATTTCCCAGGCTGCCACTGGTTTAATTCTTATTAACCAGCCAGGCAACACAGACACATTTAACAGCTGGGAGCTGGTGGCTCACGCCTGTAATCCCAGCTACTTGGGAGGCTGAAATCAGGAGGATGGAGGTTGAAGGCTAGCTCAGGGAAATAGTTCTCAAGACCCTCATGTCTAAAATAAGCACAGCAAAATGGACTGGAGGTGTGGCTCAAGGGAAGTCCTGAGTTCAAACCCCAGTCACCCCACACAAGAAGGCCATCTAACATTTATCCTGGACTCTGTGCGCTGGATTCTGAGCCATTCTGGACCTGCCAGGGAAGCCCATCTTATAGACGAGGAGGCAGGTGACAGGTGAAGCCTCCCAGCTGAGGTCAGTGTGACCTCAGGTCTGCCATCTTGCCAGTTCTCCCCTCTTGGGCACCCAGACCCTTCCTGGTCCCCTTGCCCCAGATCTGTCCTAAGCCCACAGTGCCAGAAATCTGCAGCCCTCAGGCTCTGTCACCTGGACAGGACAGAGCTCACCAAGCCACTGGTGGGAGCACCAGAGGGCAAGAGAGCTCTGTGGGGTCAGGCGACTTGGGGACTCTGCGGTCCTGAGGTTGATAGTCACTGCTTCGGGACTGAGGACCCTGCTGCCCTGCAGCTCACACTACTGCGTGGGGGAACAGACCAGAGAAGACGTCTTAACGCGCTTCAGGGTGGGGGTGTGGCCATGCGAGGACGGGCGTGGCCCTGCCAGGGAGGGGGCGTGGCCTTGCGCGTGTGGGCGTGGCCACGCGAGAGTGGGACTTGGCTTGCGGGTGTGGGCGTGGCTAGGCAAGACGGGCGTGGCCAGGCGGGGGCGGGGCGTGGGGTGGGCGGGGCAGGGACCTTCTGGGGTTGCTCTCGGGGTGATGAGAGGAGATGCAGGCACAGTGGTATGCAGTAGGTGGCAACTAAATGGTGGGTCCATGTAACACATCATGGGGAGTTGCCCGGAGCTGTCCTTTCAGCACCAGAACGCTGCAGCCTTTGCTTCTCTTTGTTTTTTTAAACTCACGATCCTCCTGCCTCTGCCTCCCAAGTGCTGGAATTATAGGCAGGAACCACCATGCAATTCCTTGACCGATGAACTGAACTGAGAAATATGCACGAAGGATCAGGCTGGGAGGTTTTTCTGGAAACCCCGCTACAGCAGCAAAGCAGAGACACCTCTCCAGATTCATCCAGGTGTGGCCCACCATTGCCTTGTCCCAAGTCTAGGCTTGCTTGGCATGTCAACATGTGCCTTCTTTTTTTTTTGCAGCACTGGGTTTTGAACTCAGGGCCTACACCTTGACCTACTCCATCAGTCCTTTTTTTGTGATGGGTTTTTTGAGATAGGGTCTCTGGAACTATTTTCCGGGGCTGGCCTCAAACCGCGATCCTCCTGATCTCAGCCTCCTGAGTAGCTGGGGTTACAGGCGTGAGCCACCAGTGCCTGGCAACACAGGCCCTTGAAAGTAAGCAGGGGACAGTGCTACAGGACCCTCATTGTTGGTCAGAGTGGGTGCTGCTTGGAGCAGGGCTGGGGGGGGCTTCCCACACCCTCTGCAGTCCCTG